GAAATTAATGTCGGAACGGGTTGATGAGACTACGATTGAGAGAAAGAAACGTTTACCAAAGCACTTTATCTTTTTGATAAAGATTACAATAAAATGAGTAATGAAGAACTAATTGTTGAAATTCAGAAGTTACGGGCAGAAATATGGTCAATGAAAGATGATGATGGACGAATAAAGAAAATACTAGAGACACACGAACTTTCCACTACCGGACAAAAACCAACCAAATCGGGCAATTTCCCGTTTGAGTTTTTATTAATTTTAATTGTCGGTTTGCTATTGGTTATTTTTGGTTACACTACTTTAACAATCAAGAGAAAAAGAAGAAAATTTTGATAACTTTACAACCTAAAAACATGATAATTATATCCCTAGAAACCAGTTGTGACGAAACGAGCACTGCCATTTTAGAAAACAAAAAAGTTCTCAGTAATATTACCATTTCCCAAATATTAGAACAACAAAAATATGGTGGAGTAATGCCTAGTTTGGCCGCTAAATTACATATTAAAAATATTCAAAAAGTCCTAAAAAAAACTTTATTCACTGCTAAAATTTCCCCCAAGCAAATTGATTATATTGCCTATACCGAAAAACCAGGCTTAATCATTTGTCTCCAAATTGGCAAAATAGTGGCTGAAACTTTGGCCTTATATCTCAACAAACCGCTCCTGCCTGTCAATCATTTAGAAGGCCACATATACGCTAGCCTGCTTGAAAAAAATGAGGAATGAGAATTTCCAGCCTTGGCCTTGATTATTAGTGGCGGACATACTCAGATGTATCAAGTAAACAACCATTTTGACTTTATTCTTTTGGGTGAAACTTGCGATGACGCCATTGGTGAATGTTTGGATAAATCGGCCATTTTATTGGGTTATAATTATCCAGGTGGTCCGATCATTGAAAAATTGGCTCAAACTGGAAAAAATACTTATCGGTTGCCTTTTCCCAAAAATGATGAAAGTTTTGATTTTAGTTTCAGTGGATTGAAAAGTGAAATTAGTCGTCTAATAAGCAAGGAAAAAGAAAACATTAATGTTAATGACCTGGCTTGTTCGCTCCAATGCATTTTGGCTGAAATATTAACCAAAAAATTAAAAAAGGCTTGGTTAACTGTTCGGGCAAAAACTATCATAATTGGTGGAGGGGTAATTGCTAATAAATTTTTAAGAAATTATTTGACAAAAAACCTTCAAAAATGAGATAAAAAGATAAAAATATTTTTTCCCGAAATTAGATATTCCACGGACAATGCGGCTATGATTGGAGTTTTGGCATATTATAAGACTAAAAATAAAAAGGGCGAAAGGTAAAAATAAAGCAAAAAAATAAATACGAAATAGTGCCGATGAGACTTATTATTCTACGAATACTTAAAAGAAGACCGTAAGAAAGAGCACTTAGGTCGCGATAACAAGGCGGTAAGTTATGACTAAATAAGCAGTTTTGAGTGGCGTATCCCAAAAAAAAATGTCGAACCGCTCCTTATTTAGAAAAATGCTGAAGCAAAATTAAAAAGTCATTGAATTAGAGTTGAAATTTAATTTTTGCTTGTTTTTTTTATTAGGGGGCATTACTGCCCCCTTTCACGGAATCTCTTTAATCTATTCCCACTTGACCTTTTTTCTTCATTTTCTCTATTTTGAGTAAATTATTTTTTTGTTTAATCATAATCAATGTTCAAGTCAAAGTCAGCAAACTTCCAATAGTCAAGACTGCTAAAATCACATTAATTTTAATCAATTTGTTCCTCGCTTTTTCTTTTTGGTTAACTTCTTCCCGTAACAGTTTTTCAAAAGAAGTTCCCATCTCTGGTAAACTTTGGGCTGAGGCCAATTGGTAATACTGAGAAGTAGGTATTTTCAGAATCTTTAAAGTCTCTTGCATTTTATTACTTATCATTTCTTTTGACATATATTTATCACCGCTTTGATAATCAGTAATTATTAATTCTTGAACGTGAACTTTTTCTCTTAAGTTTTCTACTATTTCTGTATCTGGATTGGGTTTGTTAATCAACTCTTTTATAACTTTTAAGACTTTTTCTTTAGTAATATCGTTTAAACCCAGTCCTAGAGCATTTATTTCGAACAATAATTCATTTTCAATTTTCTCTTTGTAATCTTTTAGTCAATTGCTTATATCCTTTTCTAAGACAGAAAGGTCATTTTTCTCAGAATGATTATCAGTTACACCAATTATATTTTCAATTAGACTTATAACAAAATCCTGGTATTTTTCCAGTTCCTTTTGAGCAGCCAATGCCTCTTTTTCTACTTGGGATAGTTTGCCCTGCAAATCATTGCTAATATTATATCTATCTACTAATTTTTTTAAGTCTGTGGAAACCCCTGCTAATTCTACCCCGCCTAAATGTTTTTTTATTTGGGTGTTCAAATCCGGGCTGGCAGGGTCAAATCCCAGGTCATCCTTGATAATTTTCTCGTAAGCAGTAATTTTAATCTGACCAGAATTATAGTCATCTATTAATTGTTTGAGAGTTTTTCCATCTGGGATGCCATTAGTATTGGCATCCGTTTGGGTCCCTAACTTGGCACCGTCTAGCCTAATTGTCAAGTCAGCATAATCATTTAGACCCAAATCACCAACAACAATACTTTTTTTTAACCAAACAATTTTCTCAATCGTTTGGCAAAGGAGTTGCGTGTGGGCTGCCAAGTAAATCATTAATTTTATTTTCTCGGTCGGCTAATTCTTTTTTAGCGGTTCTGGTGGCTTTCTGCTCTTTGGCAATTATTTCTGCTTGAATAATTTTGGCTACTTTTCCCGCATATTCCGCTAATTGGTAAGAGTTAGTGATTTTATTATCATTCTCTTTTAAATGGACAGTTCAATCCGTTCCGGTAATCGTGTGAGGATAAGTTTCATTAATTTTATCGGTTAATTTTTTATCAGTAATTGCTCTTTTAAGTTCTTTTAAATCGGCTAAGACTTGGGATTTGGCCTGGTTTAAACCGGCCTCGGTTTGTTTTCTTTGCTGTTTTAGGTCGTCAATAAGATCCAGTAACGAAATGATGTGGTTATCACTCATTAAATGGGGCGGAATGGTTTCGACACGTCCGCCTTTACTTTCCGCTTCCTGATTAGCCAATTGATACAATTTAGTAGTCAGTTCCCTAATTTTTTGATAAAAAAGAATTAAGTCTTTTGGTTGCCCTGGCTGTTTCAAGTCATCCATTAATTCATCATAATTTTGGTATTTTTCATCTAATTCTAAAGTGTAGTCTTTATTGTCCCGTTGATTAAAATAATTTCTTTTAGCATTGAATCCGTCATATAGATAATTTCAAAAATTATTACATGTAATTCTTCCTTCATTTACCTTTTTTCTATTACGTCTGAATTCTGCTTCCAACCTAGATTCATTAGGATTATTAATTATTTCAAATAATGTGTACATAGTCGTTATTTTTTTACTTGCTATTTATTAGTTTCTACTTCAATCAGAGCGTGAATCTCATTATCATTTTCCTCTTCCTCTTCCTCTCTTTGTTTATCCTCAGCAATTTGACTCTCCGTGGTTGATTTTACACTTCACTTGGTAGTAGTCACTTTCTCGATTAAACCCAAAACTTTTTGCTCTTGCATTAGTTGGTCTGATACTTGTTTTTCCCATTCTTGTTTTTCATTTTCGTCGTTTGCTTCTCTAACATATTCTTCCGTTTCTTTCAACCTGCCTCGTAAATCATTGGCAAACATTTGCAAATGACCTATTATTTCGTCCTTGTCTTCTTCGCTTAGCAAATCAGTTGGCAAGTTAGGAGTGGTCTCAACATCTTTTTCCTTATTTTTTTCCATCAACTCATTAAAACTGCTCAATAGTTTCTCGTGTTCTTGGCTCAACTCCTCTTTTTCTCTTTCCAGATTGGCTTTTTCGATTTCTAATTCACTTAATTTTCTTTTAAGTTCCTCAACTTCTGACTTCAATTTTTTACTTCGCTTCGCATTACTTAATGAAATTCTGCCGCTATCTAATGCCCTTCCTTTCCATTCAATAATCTCTTTTTGTCTTTGTGCTAATGCGTTGCCGTTTTCCTTATCTTTAGCAATTAGTTGTTCATTAAGACTCTTTATTTTTTCTTGATATTGGTTTTGAAATTTTGATTTTTCATCTAATAGGGTTCTATTACTCTTGGACAGTTCATTTCTTTTTTTCACAACCTCTTCTTTGTCCTTATTAACTTCCTCTAATCTTTTTTTTGTGCTTGCTAGTTCATCGCTTATTTCATTAATTCTAGTCTCCAACTCTTTTGAAGCACGAACCTTGTTAATTAATTCTCCTTCTCAATTTTCTTTTTCGGGTAAAGAAATGTTCGGTGCAATTTCGAGAGCCTGTTTAATAACCACTTCTTGGCTTTCGACAAAATATTTTTGGGCTTCAATATCCTTTTCTAGAAGTCTATTGTTGGTTTCAAGTGTTTTGTTATTTTTTTTCTGAATTTCAATCGCCCCTTTTACTTTTGCTTTTACTTCATTTATCACCTCAGTCGCCGGTTTTTCAGTTAACTTCTCCGTCTCTTCTTCTCCGACAATTTCTTCAAAGGTTTTTATTAATTCTTCCTTTTGATCTTCAATATTTTTTTGCAATCTTTCTTTTTCCTCTACTAACTGTCGCTTTTCAGTTTTTAATTCAGTATTCTCTTCAATTAGACTATCATAATTTTCCAACTTTTTCTGTTCTTCCTTGCTTAATGAAGATTCACCAAATTTTAATTCATCTTTAATACATTTCCTTAATCAAAATTTTTCTCCTCCCAAGTCTGTTCAGCCCTTAAAACTTTCTTCACTATCTCATTTATCTAATAAATCCTCAGATGCCGTTTCTATATCATCACTTTCTAATGTTTGGGTAATAATTGGCAAAAGCAGTTCCATCATCGACTCATTACCAATACTTCTTTTTTCATAGGTGCCATCCAGTTTTTTCTTTGCCAAATGGTCATTTCATTTTTGTTGAGTTTTGGTTAAATATTCTTTTAAAAATTCTTTTTTACTTTCCATGGTCGTTATTTTATTGTTATATTAATTTACTTTGCATTATTGTTATTTTGTGTGCCTTTAAATCCCCCACCTAACCCTTAATGAGTTTTGAGATGGGGGTTTTTATATTTTAGTAATCTTTCCCTAAGATTTTAAAACTCTATTTTTTTTGTTTGGGCTTGATAAGATATTTTCAAATTAGCTGCCAGCACGGCTGGTATTTTACCTCGGGCTGGTTTTCTCTCAACATTATAATCAATCTCTATTTTAACCCCATCCGCTAATTCGTACAAATCCACTATTTCATCCCGAGCCTTTTTATCCTTGAATTTTCATTTGTTGCTGTCATAAGTACTATTGAACTTTCTCAATATTTCTTCTAATTTATCATTTATTACGGTATTTAGAACTTCTTTCACTTCTTGCTTTTTTAATTTAGTCAATTTTATCAAATCATTATCAAAGTTAACGTTTATCTGGCGAGGAAAACTTTTCTGCTTTTCTAAAAAATTTTTGATCATTTGTTTCAATACATCTTTAGCTCTTTTATCGACTTTTATTTCTGTTTTTTCCCCCGTATACCTTTTTCATAAATTTTCATCATACTTAACGCCTGTACGCATCTGGTCAAGAAAGGCAATATAATCTAAAACACCATCATTTCAACCAACCATTATTTCTTCGGGTTCTTTGCCAAAGTGGTCAGGGAAAGCTATTGCTTCTTTCATTCTTTCAATATCTTTTCTAAATAGATCCCCATAAGTGAGGTTATCAAAAATATCTAAATCATCTCTGTCTTTTAGGTCAGTTAATAACATTCTAACCAAAACACTTGCGGCATCATCTTCGACTTTTCCTTCGGAGGTGTCGAGCGACAAAAATATGGATGTTCCTTTCTTAATCCTACCCGCTCTTCCTCTTCGTTGTTGCATCGAGGCCGAAGAGAGAGAATGAACTCTTGGTTCCCCATAAGTTCAACTAGGTAATAATCTAGAAAACTCTACTTCGCCCGTCGTAATCATTATTTCGACATCAAAAGTGAATCCCATTTCATAATCACCATTAACTATAATCAAGGATCCATCGGGCATTCCTTCGCTAATTCCTACTGCTGAACTTTCATAGTTCTTGTCTAATATCACATAGGGAATACCACTTTTTTCTAGTAACTCTTTTTGTTCCTTGGTTAAGCCCTTAAAAAGAACTTGCTCACCTTTTTTAAATTTATCATCGGTGCTTTTCAGAAACAACAAGGTTTTGGTTTTAGCGAATTCCTCGTCCATCTTGGGAGCAAATCCTTTCATATATTTAGTCTTTATGTCGTAAGAAGAAGTCGTCGAAAATGGTTGCCCTTCAAAAGTAGCCGACATCTTTATTACATTACATCCTGCCAAGATAGTTTTTTTAATTAGTGTTTGATAACGGGGTTCGTTGAAGTGGGCTTCATCAAAAACAATGATGCTGTTTTTTAAATATTCTGCAGTTTCTTTGGACCTAATTTGTTCTACTTTTCTTTTGTATTCATCCTTTTGCTCTTGGCTTGCATTCTTTCTAGACATCCCCTTAGTATTTACTTTAGCCCGCACCAAATAACCAATAAGATCTTTTTGTTCTAAAATAGATAAGCCTTTGCCAAAACTACCATCTTCATTCTCCACTAATTTATTAATCTCCACCTTGTATTCACCATGTATTTTATCACAGAGAACACACTTTCAAGTTTGCAACCAATCATTATGCTCGTTGTAGGCTCCTCAGGCCAAGGAAGAATTAGGAGTAACTAAAATTACATTTTTGATTCCTAATAAGTGATTAACAAGTTTGCTGGATTTTCCCGTTCCTGTGCCAAATGTTCATTCTCCTTGAGTAGTGTCTTTTAGAACCATTTCTTTGATTACTTTGCCATCTTTTGTTTTTTTTGGATTTCCGTTCTTGTCTAATACTACTTCTCAAGTAAACTCACTAGAACAAAAAGTGGGATTATTAATATCGATATTGTTCTTTTCACAGAAATAAGGCAACAAATATTTTCCTTTTTCCTCTTTTGGAAGTTCATTTTCTTTTCTCACTATTTCTGGATCAACTTCATACGCCCCTTTGTTTTTTAGTCACTCATCCAAATCCATTTCGTTAGCATTAGGATCAGGATCTGGACTCACCCCTAAGAATTTATTAAGGAATTGACTGGTTAACAGATTGCCAGTGGGCATTAATCATTTCTTTTTCAGAAGTTCAATAATCTCTTTTAGTTTAGATTCATCAATTGAATCAGTTAACGAATATTCTTGAGGCTGAGCGGGTTCCGTACTTCCAACAAATTTTCCGTCCTTAATTGCGTCACCAAATACTTTCTGTAAAATTTCTAATGTTCCTTTTTCTCTTTCAGATTTTAATTCTTTTATCTGGTTTTCTAATTCAGTAATTTTTTTAAGCAGTTCGTTTACTGTGTTCCTTTGTTCACCTGCCATCTTTTTTCCTAGTACTCTTTCCAGTATTTCGTAATGGTCTTGTAGTCTTTCTTCCATTACTTGTACGTAATTTAATGAATTGTTATTTTCAGGCATGGTCGTTATTTATTATTGATTAATTTATTGAATTATTTTGATTGTTTGGTCCTTTTTGTTTCTTTCAACTCGAACAAATTAGGAGTAAAAAAAAGAGCATTGAGGTTTCTCAGTAACTTCTTATATAAAATTTAATTGATGTCCGTGG